CACACACACATATATGTCATTATGATTGTGAATTTAGTTGGGGTTTGTTCATTAAGCCACTACATTTATTCAGTACACTGTACCAACAAAATGTAATTTTTATTTCCATGTTTTTGGAACACATAGATACCCTGCAGGCATTTATTGAAAATAAGAATAGAGAGTAGCAGCAACGTGGGCCTGTTTGCCCTCCTGCCCCCCAACCTCCCAATGCAGTGGCAGAGAGCATTCTGGGAAGTAGGAACAAGAAGTAGGAAATAAATCCATAATTAATAGGCATGCCACATCCCAGGGGTTATTTTGTAACATCATCCGTGGAATGTCAACTTTTTAAATGTACCTAGAGCTGAAAAGTTTGGGAATCATGGAAGTAAAATATTTTTGGCTGGGATTGAAGATCATGCTAAACCAAAACCAAACATACTATATTATGGTATAGTATATTCTGTTAATTCAGCCACTGTGATACTCTTACTGATCGTATTTTTATATTTTTAACATTTTTATTGCCAAAATAAAGGACTGAGGCTGAAATGCACTTCCTGAGGGGATAGTAACTTAGTTCATACCAGAAAACCCAACATTCCACATTTTGAGTCAACAAGTGAAAATTTAGTAAGATTCAAGATCAGTCAACAAAATAAAATTGTGCAAGGATGCCTATAAATCTGGTAACAGATACATTGCTAATATATTGTAGAATGAACACTGTTAGTCTATGGTGGCCAAAAATCAGAAGGACTCTGGTAGCACCTTTTCAGGCTTAAAAAGATTATTAAAAGGCATAGGTTTTCATGAACTAGAGCTCACTTTGATGCATGGAGTAGCTAAACTGATGTAGGACTTAAATTGGGATAAGGTGGGTCGCAAGCTTTAATCCTTTATCCTACCCTTTACAACTTCCTGGTGAAATATAAAGGTTTTGATTGGAGAAAACAGAACCAAAATAAACATACAGTAGCTCTGCCTTTTCTGCTTTACTGGTGTCCAGTTGCTTCTGACTCATAACCAGGTTTCACCAGATTTGTCTGTTAATAACTCTGAGTCCTAGTGAGCTCATGTTTATATCATTAGTGATAGTATCTAACTACCTTGTCTTCTGACAGCCTTTTTTTTTTGCCTTTGATTTTTCCAAGCATCAGGATCTTCTGCAATGTTTGCCTTTGTATTCAAAATTAAAGTTTTGCCTTCATTCATTGTTTCCAGTGACTAGTCTAGTTTAACTGATAGCATCCTCACCTTCATTGAAGAGCTGGTATTCTGGTCCTTTTTCCCCCCCTTTTGAACAATGAGCCTTTTTTAAAGTCCAGGATATTTGCCTATGCTCACTTTTAATTTCCCTTAAAAATCAAGAACTCTAACATTACATGGCCACTTTCCCCAGTGTTTTTGCTTTTCCACTTCCTCAACTGAATATTCCCTCTTAATTAGTATCAGATCAAGGATAGCTAGTCTTCCTCCTTTAGCATCTGAAGAAAAATGTCACAAGGCAAAGAATGAACCATGCTTGTCAGAATTTGTCTCCCAACAGATATCTGGCAATCTAAAGTCTCCCATTGTTATGACTTCATGCCTCTCAGCTACAGTGGTGCTTAAAAGTTTGTGAACTCTTTTGAACTTTTAATATTCCTGCACAAATATGACCTAAAATATGATCTGTTCTCAACACAAGTCCTAAAACTAGATAATGAGAAAATTAAATAAGTCAAAAACATTATACTTGTTCATTGATTTATTGAGAGAAATGATCCAAAGCTAAATATTTGTGTGTGGCAAAAGTATGTGAACATCTAGGATTATCAGTTCATTTGAAGGGGAAATTAGAGTCAGGTGTTTCAATCAATGGGATGATGATCAGGTGTGAGTGTGGGAGGTCCTGCCTTATTTAAAGAAAAGAACTCTGGGTATTTACTATCAAAGTCTGATCTTCACAAAACAGGTATGTGGAAGTGTGTTATGACTCGAACAAAGATTGATTTATTGAGAGAAATGATCCAAAGCTAAATATTTGTGTGTGGCAAAAGTATGTGAACATCTAGGATTATCAGTTCATTTGAAGGGGAAATTAGAGTCAGGTGTTTCAATCAATGGGATGATGATCAGGTGTGAGTGTGGGAGGTCCTGCCTTATTTAAAGAAAAGAACTCTGGGTATTTACTATCAAAGTCTGATCTTCACAAAACAGGTATGTGGAAGTGTGTTATGACTCGAACAAAGGAGATTTCTGAGGGCCTCCAAAAAATAGTTGTTGATGTTCACAAGGCTGGAAAAGGTTACAAAACAATTTCCAAAGACTTGGGAATCCAGTGGTCCCGTCAGGCAGATTGTGTACAAATGGAGATGACAATTCAATGCCATTGTCACTTTCCGCAGGTTGATCACACCAAGAACAAGGTGTGTAATACTCTGGGAGGTCTCAAAAAAGCCCAGGGTAACAGCTAAGGAACTAAAGGCCTCTCTTGCATTGGTGAGTGTCAGTGTTCATGAGATCACCATCAGGAGAACACTGAACAACAATGGTGTGGTTGGCAGGGTTGCAAGGAGAAAGCCACAACTCTTCAAAAAGAACATTGCTGCTCATCTACAGTTTGTGAAAGACCATGTGGATAAGCCAGAAGGCTATTGGAAGAATGTTCTGTGAACAGATGAGACCAAAATACAACTTTCTGGCTTGAATGAAAAGTGTTGTGTGTGGTGAAAGGCAAACACTGCATTCCAGCATAAGAACCTTATCCCATCTGTGAAACGTGGTGGTGGCACTATTATGGTTTGGGTTTGCTTTGCTGTCTTTAGACCAGGATGGCTTGTCATCATGAATGGAACTATGAATTCTCAATTGTACCAGCAAATTCTACAGGAAAATGTCAGGGTATCTGTCCATGAACTGAAGTTCTAGAGAAAGTGGGTCATGTGGCAAGACAATGACCCAAAACACTGAAGTCATACGACCAAAGAATGGTTAAAGCATAAGAAAGTTAATGTTTCGGAATGGTCATGTCAAAGTTCTAACCTTAATCCTATAGAAATGTTGTGGAAAGATCTGAAGCGGGCAGTTCATGCAAGGAAGCCCACCAAAATCCCTGAGTTGAAGCTGTTCTGTAAGAAATGAGCTAAAATTCCTCCAAGCCAACATGCAGGTCTAATTAACAGTTATCAGAAACATTTAGTTGCAGTTATTGCTGCCCAAGGGGGGCACATCAGTTACTAAAAGCAAAGGTTCACCTACTTTTGCCACAATGTAGGATTGGATAATTTTCCTCAATAAATGAACATGTATAATATTTTTGACTCATTTGTTTAATTGGGTTGTTGTTGTTTCCAATTTATATATACTTTATCTAGTTTTAGGACTTGTGCAGAAAACAGATCAAGCTTTAAGTCATATTTATGTAGAAATATTGAAAATTCAAAAGGGTTCACAAACTTTTAAGCACTAGTGTACCTGCGATTTGCTTTTAAAAAGTATGATCTACAACATTTTCTCAGATGGAAAGGTGATAGTAGAGACTGACAATTACAGATGTTTCATTTGTTCCTCCAATTATTTCAAAACATATGCTCTCTACAGCATTGCAAATTCCTTCACTTGGACTTCTGAGCAAGAATTGATATTGTTACTATACATGGCAATCCTTCCCTTTCTATTATATTGTTGGAGGTGGGGGAGTGGTGACACATGCATGATGATGAAATCACAGTCTTAAAGGCTGCTGTGCTTGTGTTCCTTTTGAATGAATATTCCTCAGCTGCTATATTCCAATTATGGGAGATATGCCCAGATCTTTTAAATCATATTTTTCCTCTTGCATTAAGAGTGCAAGCTCATTTTGTCTGAGTATTAATGTATATATGATGAAAGCGATGAACTTTTTAAGCCAACATTTCCCCCCTTACTTTTGAGTGATTTACAATGTTCCATTTCAATAGCATTCTTCTATTCCTTAGTAATAAAGGGTTACCTAAGATCCTTGCTTCAGGGCTTCCACTTCCACCACTCACAGGATCTTTTAATACCCTCCTACACAATCTCATCATGCTTTAATCAGGCACGTTTTTACCAGTTCTTGTGCTGGCAGTAAAGTTGCCATTATTTTTCTGCCACTGTTGCATTTACTCACACAACCCAAGGAAGCTTTATCAAGAGTCTCTCCAGCTTCTGAAGAACAAAACCTGAGTATAACTCATGATTGGTTTGCTTAGGATTTTGCAACTCCGAATGATACACATCTATACCATATTCCCTGATATTAAAAAACTTTATGGAAAAAAAATACCTACTAAAACTTACCAATAAAAATTGAGATTAAATGACTGAACACGAACACACATGTACCGCCCATCTAAACATGGGAATCATGCTTGATCATATCTGGAATGTATCTTTAGCCGTGGCATCCTGCTCTGAGTATCTTACTTTGAATACTCACTAGTATTACGTAATGCGTAATACATAGTGTTCAATTCTGAATACTACGTGAATACTCTTCACGTAGTGAAGGCAATACGGTACTGCCTAAGGCAAGACTGTCCCGTTCTGTTCATGCGTTTAATACAACTGCTTCAAAAGCTTGGATACGAGTAACTCACCAGTGTAAGGTGGGGAAATCAAAGTGTTTGGCTGATTGAAAAAATATAGTTAGAAGGAGTATTAAGTATGTTGAAAAAGATTTCTACCACCAGATTTTGTTCTTGTCTTAGAAATGTAACGCTAATATTCCTGGGAGCTATACAAAAAACACATCTGGAAGGTATCACGCTACCTCTGACTAAAGTATATATTGTCATGCCACGAAAAATCAAGCTCAGCATTCCTCCCCGACACGCGAACCCACAGAGTACGCAGAAAAGACTACTGGAAGAAGAACAGCCCAACCGTAAAATAAGCGGCAGCGACAACAGCAAGCTCCGCCCCTTACTACCTGCTCTGATTGGTCTCTGCCTCTACTTACTGCGCAAAATCCTAATCATCCTCTCCCTGCGCATGCGTTGAGCCGCCGAGACCGGTGAGACCCGGTTGGGTGGGGGTTGTTGTGAAGCTGCTGGGAACACGTGAAGCAACGTCATCATAAACATTAGTAGCCAAGATGGCAGCTCCGGCGGGCGGAAAGGTAAGTGAGAGAAATAAAATCTTTTAGTCGCGGTGAGTATAATGGTGCCTTGAGAGCAGAGTCAGTTTCGTTATGGGAGCTCTGTAACTGTTGAGAGGGTTGACGGGGATCTCGGACTGACATGGCAGGGTATCAGGCCGCTGGGTGGACTAGTCTTGCTTCAAGGGTGTCCTCCAGACGCGTTGGGGCTGCAGCCCGCAGACCTCGGGCCGGGCTGGACGTAGTGTCAGCGCAGGGCTGAGGCGTTTGGCATTCGTTTGAAGAGGACCGCCTCTTGACCTGCCGAAATGGGGACAGGTGTCTGACACGTGAGAGATTCCCTGTATCTTTGATTAGGTCGAGGTTAAAAGGAGCGGCATGCCTTGGTGCTATTGAACCGGGAGGTGTAAAGGAGGTTTTGGAAGACCCTTGTGGAGTCACTCTTTCGTTTAACGATTTTCTGTAACCTTCCTGTTTATATGTACATCCCTGAATGAAGTGTCAGAAGGGAGCCAACCCCATTCTTTTTACTGCATTCTGACTTGTTAGGCTTGTCGCTTTTTGATTGGTTCTTTCAAAAGAGCTGTCTGTGATATGGGTAAAATGCAGAAAAGGCTTGATTTACAAAACTTTTTCCAACAGAGATCTTTTTTTGTTGTAGTTTCTGATAGAAAAAAATAATACCAATTAAATGATAGTTTGGAGGCTGCACCCAAGATATCTGATAAATAGATGGAAAGTGTACTTCTGAGGTGCTTAACATCTAATGAATTAAAATAGAAATGGTTTTAAAGTGGGGCATTTTTTTTTTCACCACAGCATTCTCATTCTCATAGGGCTTGGTACAGGTAAGTGATATATGGTGTTAGTAGTCATCCACTGGTCCATTTGGATCATTTTCAGTGAGAGCACAAATGTTTCTGTTTCTCAGATATTTAATTCTTCTCCTAAGCTCAGTAATATTGCTCAGTGTAGAATGTTTCCAGTAACTAGGAATCTATTTTTGTGTTGCAGGATTATAGCTTCCAATCCATTCTGATTCACTAAACAAATTCCTGGTCTCAGAAATTGTGTTTATTTTTATTAGTTAAAGCTACAACTACAATACAAACAGAAAAAAAGAAAATCCCCAAAAAACAAAGCACATGCCTATAAATATGTTACAACAAGTATGTACAAACAACTCAGTTTTAAACAACACATTAAATGTTGGCTACATGGTATATCAATCAATCTTTTCATTAGTAATAGAGTCACTTCAAAGATTGAGAGTGAATGGATTTTAAATCTAGGGTGGTAATTTTTTCTGAACAATGGAAAATTATTTTGGCTTCTCTCCAAGCTAGCTAAATTTCATCATAAATCAATAAATCTCAAGTTTTCAATATTTAATTCAACTTTGTATTAATGCTTTTAAACTTTATATCTCTTCCCAAATTCATATTAGCTATAGCATAAATATTAAACTAAAACAGGACAACCATAGGGCATATGTTAGTTTTCTCATATTTATTACATCATCAGCATAAAAAGTTTTTATGCCCTAAGTCCTTCTTAAATATCCACTGAGTTGTACAGCAAACATGAAAAATAAAGTTTGATTAATCTCATGTTAAAATCATAAGAAACTTTATTTAAATTTCTTGACAATTGATTTATTAAAATACGATATTACAACTCTTCACTCAGAGCTCTTGCAAACTATATCTATCTTAGTAATACTTTTCAGCTATCTATATGAGTAAACTTAGTGTCTTCCAAAACGCTTTCCAGTACAAGAAATGCAAAGTTTTCATAAGCTAGTAGTACATCACATCCAAATTGAGAAATCAAAAGATATTTTAATTGAATATAGCACCATTCAGTAATTTTAAGAAGTTCAGATTCTTCTTAGAGTACATGTAACGTTTTAAAGGAATGATTACTAAGTTGGACCAAAATATTAACAGCATTTTCTGTCCAAATGTTTGTTTTAAAAAAGATTTTCTAGTGATTTTCAAATTAGAATTATTCCAAAATGTTATTTTTTCAAGTGAACAGAGATTAAATTTAAATTTGCATTCCCAAATTCTAAAATTATCCAACCTTGATCATTATCAGTAATACCCTAAATATCTGCAAATGGTAACAATTTCATGCTTGGGTTCTCAAACAGATATCAGAACTAGGATTCAAACATGTTTTATCCTTGGCCAGAACAACCTTTGTTGCTTTTGGCCAGAAGCTGCCCTCTCTCCTCCAAAAATGGGTTGAGTTACTCCAATGACTGGGCTAAAATTGCCCCCCAAAACTGACAGACTGAATCTACTTCAGTTTGATGGCAAGGCAGTGTTCACTCGTCATACATATCCAGGCTGGCATCTGTTCATGTCCTGGCCTTGCCCTTCTTTGGAGTGCAGTTTTTGTACTGTACTGAAATTACAGATTACAGTTAGTGAAAAGAAGAAAGTTTCCAGGACTGGTTTTAGCTGGAGTTGGCCACCCTAGGTTGATAAGGTATGGAAGGTGGACATTGTATGTTTTTTTCTCCCCCCCCTCCCATCAAATCTTCCTTTGCTAGGGTTATGCTGGCTGTTAACTTCTGGTATGGTATCTAGTATATTGATAAGCTTTGTTTAGGGATGGGTAGAAAGTTCAGTTACACTTATTCATTATTTTAAGAAGTCACTGCACCATAAGGTTTGAAAATTCCTGCCTTAATGTGTGAAGAAGTAATTCTGTTTGTAATAACTCTAGCTGAGGGATTAAGATACCACAGTTACTCCAACTAATAAACAGGGGAATCCATTTTTATCAAACAATCATTCCAGAAATTAAACCTGCACAATATCAAAGAGATCTTCTGTATCCCATGAAGCCACTGTTGCTGATTCAAGTTCTTTGCCTGTATTTCTAAAATATCAATTAACAGATACTGTCTGAAGCTTGTCACTCTTTTATAAAACTAGATTGTGCAAGATGAATTATCAGGAATAATATATCAGGGGTAAAATAGTTTGCAAACTTGGCATTCTTTGACCTGCCTTTTGTATAAGGTTAGTTGATTTGTGGGTTCTAACTTTAAAAAAAAAAATCTAAATAGATATCATGAGCTTAAGTAAGCCTAAAATCTCCCCATCCCTGGTGTAGAGAAATATAATATTTGGCTTGGAGATAGGGACGAAAAAAAAAGCTAAAACATTTCTTTCACTTGTGTTCAGTGTTGAAGTTACAGGATAATCATGAAATGCACTGGTAGGAAGTTGTGTTAACCTGCAATGATGTTGTTGTGTGTTCTTTCATTTTATGATACAATATATTTGAAGCAGTCAGTAAATTAGCTTGTGTGATACAGGGAAGTTTAACTCCATGCGCCTTTATTTTGAGCATAGGCATACTTGTGTATGACTGTTACATGTCAACCTGAAATTGTTCATGTGTGGCCAACATCATGAATAAGGCTTAGACAACTGGACAGGAAGTTAGACCTAACACTTCTGGATTAATTTTCTAAAATATAAGCAAATCCAAATTAGTTTAACTTGATTGTGAACTATATATCAAGTAGATTCATTAATATAGAAATGTATCTTAAAATATTTAAAGGCACGTCTCTTCCCATTTATTCCTAAGCCTTAAGTTCTTGAAAGCCTGTTCCAACTGCCCATGCATATATAGGCAGTGACCATGGGGAGTGGTCTTTTTTAGGGTTGCTTACTCCCATAGGAAGCATTATTTTCTCAGAACTTTTAATTATTTTGTATCTGTGTAATGTTCTATTTTAACTAGCCTGAGTTTTTCATTTTTGCTAGGGACTTTAAAAATTTATAGCTTTATTATATTTTTTATTTTAATAGTTCATTGCCCTGAAATTGTGACTAACATGTTTTAGGAATCAGTAAAAATGGAGTAGACGGTTTCTGAGCTCTTGATTTTAATATAGCTTGTGTTGCAAAACTAGTCTTGTTTATTTTCCCATTCATATCAGCATATTCCCAGGCATACAGTGTTCTGTTCTAATACAAACTCTGCCCAATTTATTAAATGATTAGCCTGGTGAGTATGCGATACAAGCCTGTCACTTTCTCTGAAAGGCCCTAATTGGATTACAGTAATTGGTTCTGTACCCAGAGCAGGTTCAAAACATCAGATTGCCAAAAATGCTCTTAATGAAACAACAGTGTTTAATTATTTTTATTTTTTACCTTTTAGGTTGTATATGAACAAGAAGGAGTTTTCATTCATTCTTCAAGTGAAAATGATGATCATGATTGTTTACAATCTGGGTCATTACGAGTCATTGAAAAGGTTACGCATCAAAATTTAGTTTTCTGTCTTTTGAATATTAAAATGTATAGCATGTTTCCTGTGAATTTATTTTTCTCCTTCTCCAAAAGAGTACAGTTTCTGTGTGTGTAGAATAAATATTATTTTGTAAATAGAAACAAATATGACATTACTGAATTACTTTTTGAATAATTGCATCATTTGTGTTTTAGAGCACTGAGGTGATAATAGATTGGAGACCACTGGATGATTCATTAGACTCTTCTAACATTCTATACGCTAAAAAGGTACGTTGATTTATTGTAGCAATCTTTTGTTAAAGTTTTGGAAGTATGCCTTAGAAAACTGAAATAAAAATAAAATGAAGGTAGAGACAATCAGATTGCCTCCCAAGTATTCTATATTGTAACTTCTAGAAGCCCTAATTAATATTGCTAATGGTCAGAATTTTGGGATTCCTGATCTAAAGTATCTTGTTAGCCCTTCAGACACCATAAGAAATACTGGAACTCTGCTGTATTGATATAGGTTATTAAAATGAAATCTTGAAAGCCTGACAGCTTCTCTCCCTCTTATTTCGAAGAGAGTCAAGGTGGGGCAACTTTAATTTTCTCACACTTTGTTTTCCCAGATTTAGCTCATGTTTTGCTAAACGTTTCCTTCTCCTAGGTGTACTCTACAAGTGTGGGCAACATTTTGATGCTTAATGTTTTTGGAAGACAGAGGATCATAGCTTGTAAGGCAGTGTTGATGTGGATGCCACATCATCCTTGTATTTTTTTTTCTGGGGTTTTCTTTTTTTTAATTGCTTTATCTTTATTGTAGGGCTTACATTGCATACTTTCAAAGTGGTAGGAAACAGTGCTATGACTTTTGAATTATCACAGAGTTGTGGACACTGCAAAAATGGAGCTGTTGCTCACTCATGATCTAGAAGATTCAGGTTGCCTTTCCTAGCATAAAATGTTATTTGCACCATCTGATAATAGGTCATCTTGGGAGGAGAAAAACTTACAGAAGTTATTTCCTTATTTCTGGTGAGCATCATCACCACAGAAAGCAATAATACATAGCACAATTGCTGAATTGTTTATTGAATCAAAGCTTGAATACAGTTGTCCCTTTAATACATTTCTCAATTCCAGCACATCTAATTAGAGGTACAAATTGTTGGTCAACATGATTTTTCTACTAATATAATCAGAGAGGTTATTTAAATTAATACTCAGGCAATTCCCAAAATCTTTTGTAGTTCCTTGATTCCAGAAAGATTTTTCAATGTGGAAAAGATAATGAAAGAAGTAACAGATGAAGAGCAGCAAATGAAGCAGCAAGCTGTAGAATAGTTAAACTTTTACACTACACACACCCTTACACACTTCACATACTTCTCACAGCTTCACATATTGAACTTTGTCAACTATTTCATAACCTAAACCTCTGACCAACTGTTTTTTGATCAGTCTGCTCATGGAGTACTGTTACAGTTTTAGAAGACAATTTGGAGAGGGGTCTAGTTGATCTTGCTTCATTCTTGATCATGGAAGTTCATGTCCTGATTCTTGGTACTTTTATCTATCTGTCATACTTCAGTGTTCCAGGAGAACTGGTCTTTGGTACATCATTGTTTTAATCAACTCTGGTATGCTGCTGCATTTCCATGCACCTGTACATTCTGATGAACTGTATGTACTTTAGCCCGAGTATTCATTTTATAGTTCATTAAGATCATTATCCATCATGATCATTTGCTGGATAAGCCTGCAAAGTGTTCTGTTCTGTTCAATCATGAATTGTCTCTGGTTCAGCTAGCCTTTGGTTCCTATATGTCCAAAGTACCCTTTGAATAGGTTACAAAATTCATAGAATTTTGGTCTGGTTATGAGAAGTATAAACCTCTCATGTTCTGTTCTCCTTTGCTACTGGTATAGAAGACAGACTATCTTGGTATTTTGGACAGATTGAAATGCAGTGATAACTATTAAAAGGAAAATGAGCACTTTATTTGATTTAGAGATGCTTAGGGGAGATAGGCTCTGCCCTGTGAAATGATTTTCTGGACTAATGCAGAGCCTTGAATAATATTGTACATCTTGTGTAAGTAGTAATTATTGAGAGATATTCCCAAACTGTAAGACTAGAAAATCAAGGATCTTTGATTTCTTTAACTGTAATATGAAATTACTTCTTTTGACCTAAAACTTCTTGTATTAAAGTTTTAAAGAAAAACTCTCACAGTTTGCAATCTACATAGTTCACATTTGTTTTTTATTCAGCTGTAGATCTATGAACTCTAATGTTTGCGGGGGAGGGGAAGCACATTATCCCATTGGCAATCTTGCTATGACATTTGAGAAAGTAAGTGTATAAAGTATACACTTTATAAAGTATAAAGTATATACTTTATAAAGTATATACTTTATAAAGTATAAAGATGGAATATTGGAAATGGACTAATGCCTGCATAAGTGAAAGGTTGAGCAATGCTGTATCTGAGCAAGACTTTTGCTTCTGAAGCTAAAATGCTATTTTTTTCCTTTCCTTGAACTGAACCATAAAACAAAGCTTTGTGACTTTTTGATTGGCAGTTTCCTCCAAAGTACATTGTTTTACAGTTTGGCTTACTGGGTTTTTTTTAACTTAAATTGCATCTGACAAAAGTGATGTTCCTTGAACAAATTTTCTTTACAGTTATGGAAACAAAAATTGATTTTATAAGTGGTTTACAAGAAAAATGGCTGCTGAATGTTGTTTTGATATGTTATTTAGGATTCCAGTTCAGTTGTAGAGTGGGTACAGACTCCTAAAGAGAAGACTTTCAGAGGGCCAGAACATATGAACAGTTACGAAGCAGAATGGGATATGGTCAACACCGTCTCTTTTAAAAAGAAGCCACATTCAAATGGAGGTACTTAAATAATACCGTATATTAAAATATGACAGTGAATTTATTGGTTCATTGCTGTTAGGTATGTTCCTGGGTATAGAGCTTTTTACTTCTGGTACCTACTGCTGTTGTGCTTGTGAAGTCTCTCTCAGCTAATAATGCTGATCATCTATCTTTCATAACAAAATTGACTCTGAGATTCTGAATTAAGGTATATATAAAGAAAAAGATTATTTTTAATGAACTCACTAAAAATATTCCATCTGTAGCAAAAGGCATCTGTGCCTTTCATTCTGTATAATTATTTGTATCTATAAAGAAAGCTGTTACTTTCTTATCTAGTAACATATTTTTTTGATTGAAAATTGCTGAAGATGCTTGCATAGGATTTCTATATATTATTCAAATAATTTGAAATGAATATGAATATGTGGTAAGATATCACCTTAGGACTGTGCTTCCCCAACCTGGGTAAGTTACTCAAAATTCGGTAAAAGTGGTTTTTCTTTGGATAATGATACATGAACCCATTACCCATTACAACAGGGACATTTAAATTGACTTAAGTAAAAAGGACTTTCTGATAAGCGGTTTTGGGTAATGAAGGAAGAAGTTTGGGAAGCACTGCCTTAGGACTTAGAACGTATATGTTGTATGTAATCTTTGTGTAATCGGTGCGTTATTTGTTTGTTTATTTATGCAGTTTATCCAGTACCTCAATCCTAGTGGGCTGTAGGAAGTTTACAGATGTTATGTAATAATAAGGAATACATTATCTTAAACCCTTAAAACTGAAATAACAGATGTTTAAGCACCTATGGCTTCATAGTTAGTCCCCGAAGGCATTCCAGAAAAGCCAAGTTTTTACTAACCAGCTGAAAGCCACGAGAGTAGGAGCCATCCTCACCTTGGGGCAGGTTCTTCCATAGGAGAGGTGCTATGGTGGAGACCTTTAACATGCACTCTTGTTATCTGGATCAGAGAGGTAGTATCTATATGGGAAAGTGGCCTTTTTGAGGCCTGAGCCATATAGGACCTTAAAGGTAGTGACCAGCACCTTAAATTGCAGTTGAAACACTCATGGCAACCAGTGTAGTTCCTGCATTAGTGGTGTGATGTGGCAATAATGTGACTGGTTAGCAAGCATGCAAGGTGCCAAATCGTATTGAATTTGATTTTAACTTGTTTACCACCTAGAGTTGTTATGAGTTAGGCAGCTTTATAAATGTGATTTATAAATAAATAAATAAATTCTGGACCAGCTGAAGTTTTTGGGTGGTCTTCAGAGGCAATCCCATGTAGAGTGAATGACAGTAATCTAATGAGATGACCATGGCATGAGTGACCATCCTCAGTACATCCTGTTCCAGGCAGTGTTGCAACTGGTGTACCAGTCAAAGCCGAACAAAGGCCGTCCTGGCCATAAGCGTCACCTGCTTCTTGAGCAGGAGCCACAAGTCAAGGAGGACACCCAAGATTATTAGCTTTCTGTTTTGAGGGAGCACAAGCCCAAAGATGGTATAGTCCTGGAACTAGAAGCTTTCTGAATTAGCAGCTATTCTGTTTTACTTGAGTAAAGTCTGAGCCTGGTTTTCCCCTTCCAGGCCCGTATAGCCACCAGGCATTGGTTCAGTCCCTCTGTAGCATCTTCCATTGGACCTGGAGTGGTGATGTACAACTGGGTGTCATTAACATATTGATACCTCATCTTGAACCAGTGGACAATTCCTATTAGTTTCTTATACATATTAAATGGTTAGAAGATTGGACCAGGCCTTGGTCTGAGCATTCTGTAACAGAGGAGCAGAGGCTCTAACTTCTCCCACGCTGCTACCAACCATTGTAGGTGACTCAGAAGGGTATTGTAGGCCACTGAGAGGTCTAGAAGGACAGTTTGTTGTAAATCCTCCATCCAACTCCTTTCATGAGAACAATCAATGTTATTTCTGTCCCATTCCCGAGTCTGAAACTAGATCTCTATGAGTTAAGATAATCTGTTTCCTCTAGAGCCCTTTGTATTTGCAGTCCCACCACTTTCTTAGCAAAATTCCCCAAGAAGGGGAGGGTCGAGATTGGGTAATACTTATTTATACCTACTAGATCCAGAGCTAGCTTCTTGAGGAGGTGGTGGACTAATGCTGCTTTCAGAGCTAGTAGACCTCATCTTCTCTCAGGGAAGCATTGACTACAGTTTAGATCCATCTCCTAGTCTTCTCCATAACTGTTTTCATCAGCTAGTTATGGCAGAGGTCCAATCCACAAGTGATAGAGCTGTTCGGAAAAATCTATATACTTTCTCAAGATTTACAGCTGTGTAAACCACCCAGATAAGATCACAAGATGTTGCTTCTGTTATCTCAATAAATTTTGTCCACCCAACTTCCAACTCTAAGCAACTGTGAATAATTTTATCCACAAAATATTCTGCTAGATTATCACATTTTACACTAATGGGTTCTTCAGGCCCATCTTTCCCTAATAGGAACACTCTAAATAGTGTAGCTGGCAACATTCTGTAAATGAAATAAAGGCAGAGAAGTAATTCTACTTTACAACCTTCATTACCCCAGCATAGGCTCAAATGCGAGCTTGTACCTGTGTTTGGTCATTTACTTTTAATTTTCCACCTGTCTTCACATGTCTCTTCACCCATATCATTTCCTGGAGCTCCTTGGAAAACCAAGGAACTACATGGGATCAGAAGGTGAGGAGGTCCTGTACAGTGTCCTGATATTGGAGGTTAACATGGCACTCAACATAACTGTCATCAAGATTGCTGGGAAATACCCAAGTGCTATTTGGAAGCCCTCTTCTAGATCCATCAAGCTGGGGTAAGCCATCTTACCTTGCCCTTCCTATGGAAGTAGGCTGTTTAGTTAACCCTATTGTCATGAGAAAGTGATCTGTCCGTGACAAGAGATTGATGAACCAGATCATATCTCATCTGCTTTGAGTTAAAAATGTGGTCCAGTGTATGGTCAGCAATGTGGGTTGGGTCAGTGATGACCTGAGATAGGTCCATGGTTGTCATGACACCATGAACTCCCAAACTGATCTCAAAGATAAAATCATCCAGTACCAACAGTCTGGGCATATCCATAACTACCTCTACACTGAGATAAAGCAGTTTGGAAAGGCATGCTGCCATTGCAGCTGGAAGAACAATATAAAGGCAAGCACTACCACCACCTGTCCCTTTGGCCCAACCTGTTAAGCATAGCTATAGTTCTGGCTATCTGCAGAGCAGTATTATCATAGTGGCCAGCATCTTCTGGTAAGAAATTGCCACACTACTTTCTTTGTCCTAGGATCAGAACTGATGCCTGACACCAAACCCAGCTGGACAGATTTCAGCAAGGGGGACTCCCCTGCTTTTCAGTCAGCCAGGTCTCAATGATACATGCTATGTCTATCCCCTTGTCCACAATCAAGTCATAGATGAGGCTGGATTTATTATAGAGGGACCTGGAATCCAAAGGTCATTGAATTCAAATTCATCAACCTGGGTCTGGTGTTCCCAGCAATTGGGTTGCCTGGCTTCTGAATTGAGATCAGGAGACACACAATAGAGAGCCAAACAGTATTTATTCTGTGCACATGCTTGTTTTGGCAATCTCTGGATTACAGCTTTTTGGCATTCATGAATCAATTTATCGTTGCAGCTTGTGGTGATTCAGACTGGCTTGTGGCTTCTCAGACTAGCTTATCCTTGTGGCACCTCAAACTAGCTTCTTGGGCAGACTGGTTGTCAAACTCTTTGACTGACTTGTTCTTGTAAGTTAAGATGATTTGGACTGGTTTCTTGGACTGGCTTTTAGTTCCTCAGGCTGACTTAATCTTGTAGATTGTGGTGACTTTACAGGATTTCAGCTTTCATGGATTGGTTTTTGGCTCCTTGGTCTGACTTTTGACATTCATAGATTCGGCTTTCCTTGCAGCTTGCAGCTTCTTTAATTAGTTTTCACCTTTTCAGGCTAACTTTTGATTATCTTGGATGGGCTTTTGGTGTTCAGAACCTGGCATTACAGTGTTCACAGATTGACTTTATGCTGACTCTGGCTTTTGGCATTCTCAGACTGGTAAAGTTCTCCACCATGGTTTCAAGGGGTTCAAATAAGGGCAGGAAAAGGTTTCATATTTGTGATCCTGCTACCATTACTTCCAAAGTTGGCCTAAAAAAGAGAAGAGTGAATTCAAGTGTTTGGGAAAAGTTGGACTTACTTGCAAAAGTAGATTCTGGAATGTCTTTTTAACATGTCTGTGTTAAATATGGTGTTAAGTAACAATGTCTGATATTCACAAACCCAAAGACAAGATGTATGGGTCGCAGTATAACATTGGTGTCAGAACATCACCTGCGATTCATTCTTGAAAACATGAAAATGATACAGCAACCATAATGTTAGTCAGTAGTGGTAAAGTGGTATGTTCAACAACATTTTTGGTTGTGTAAATGTGAGATCAGATCAGCAGCTAATACGGTCATCAACCACATGAATGTAACTTTTTAAACTAGCATGGATTGCTGAGGCAGTTTTGTAAATACCATTGCATTGTTAATAAATAGATCTTTGGTGAGGCTTTGAGTGTGCTAACAAATGAGATAGCTTGATACTACCCTAATTGTACAATACATAAGAGACTAGGTTGCTCATTCCTGAGAATGTCAGGCTTGCATATTCTCTCAGACAAAAATCTGCAAGGACTTGGAGATTTTTTGAAAATTGCACTGCCTTGGGGTATTGAAGAACATCAGGCATCAACTGGCAGTCATTTATTACAACTTGAAATATGAGTTTATGGGTCACCTTTTCAGGACTGATTATGTAGCCACTTTGTACCAGAAGTCAGATATTATCAAAATCTAATGCTAAAAAAATCATTAGAGAAGGCTTTCTTAACTTTGGATAATGCTCCAGTTCATCCATCTATGAAGACACTGTGCATAAGAGATGGAAAATGCAAGTGCATGTTTCTCCAAAAAAGTAGCACCCATGAGTCAGCCAGTGGACTCGGGCATCATTTTAGTAACCAAAAGAGTTTACTGAAAGTGATTTTTGGATAAAGTAATTATTGTTATGGAAGAAGAATTTTACAAAGAAAGAAAGAAAGGTGGCAAGTCACCATACAATATCTCTAAAATTACAGTTTGCAATTGCAATGTCCCACTTTGCTGCAGCCTGGGCAGTAAACATTCAAAATTTCACCAACAGAGGACCTGGAGTTTGAAGGTTTGGTTTCCACAAAACAATTCAAAAAGCTGGGGAACAGCAAGCACTATTAGTTGATTAGGAGGTTGAGAGTGATCCTGGGTACCAGATCATGAGAGAAAGTGAGTTAAGCAAGAAGATGTGAGTTCAGAAAATGAAGAGAGTAGGAAGGAGGAAAAACTGTCAACACCAAAAATAAAGTTATCTGTAGTGGGTTTGCATTTGGATCATGTGGTTTCACACATTGACTCCTCCTCAGGATTATTACCTCCACTTATATGCTACAAGGAAAATAATCATTTGAAGAAGCATGCTTAAAATATTCAATTAAAATCAGACAGTTTACACTAATTGGTAAAGCTGTTGTTAAATATTGTATAGGAGTTTCAGGAAAGCAAAGTTTTTCCAACACAGATGTTTTAATTAACACATTTTAGATTTTTTACTAAACTTATTTTAATAAACATTATAGTTAACAATACAGTTTGGTAAATGTATGTACAGTGTTTTATTTGTTTTATTTATTTTGAAAATAGAACAAATACAAAACAGATTACATCTCTATAACATAATACTATAATATGTATTTCTACAGAATGCTGTAAGTATAATACATCAAAACAAATTCAGTTACTGCACTGCACTGATAATGAACAAATTAAATAAAGCAAAATTTTAAACAACTTTTAATAACAACTTATGTTATAAAGTAATTGCCCTTTCCAGCTGACACAGCCACATGCTACAGTACATCACAACTATACCCTTGTCTGTGAAACCAGTTAGTACATTTGGTTCCTTACAAGGATTGCAAAGATTCATAACATAGAATCTTAAGAAAAAAATATTGTGTAGGTTAATCTTGGTAATTACTTTAAGAGGTTCCTACATGACAACTGTTATGTTTCTTTTATTGCTATAAGACATCATCTGTTTAGAATTGCTAAGTGAAAAGGAGTGCAAAAAAAAACAACAACTCTAGAAACATTTCTAATTCCCACAGTAAACTCACATATTACATTATTAAGTATTTATGCTGATTTGCTGCCAGAATATAATGTTGAATGTTTTTGAATGGTTGAGAACCTGCAGAGCATATTCTGTATTAGAGATTTCAGATATTTATAATGTTATGCTATTTTTTAAAACAAAATAAATGTCTACCCTCATGGTGAATGGAATAACCTAAAACTGTGCTTGTGCCTAAAGGATTTTTATAATATTTAATAAATACTTTAGATCAGCATCAGATAACTTTTTTTCTACATTTCCTCAAGGGCTACACCAGAAATTAATGGGGTTACCCGTTTCCTCTCTTTCTCTTTGCCCTTTTACAGTAACATTTTATGTTATAAAACAGTTTTAAAAATTGTTTTAGTTAACTTGTTATTGGTAAAAATACAGTTTAGTAATTATACAGTAATTATATATTTTATTTATATTCTTGAATAACAAAGAACCAGTAACAAATACCAATGTTATAAAATATTATAACATCTATTCTATTAAGACATTTTAATATATTTAATAAAGTTAAATATATTAACTTTGTGTTTCATGATTTGAATGTACTGCTTTTCACCTGTCTACTCTCAAGTAATAAAAAATTTTAAAAAGAGGGTTCAGTAGAGTAAAGAGATGATATTCAATCTATTCTAATTATGCATACATGTTTCTTAAAGAGGTAAAATTGAAAGTGAAGAAATGATGTCCAATTCAGTTTTGGGTTTGGGGAGGGAGGGTGGCTCTATGCAATACCTATGGTTTGAAGCATTTTTCATTAACTGAAGCTGGTGTGTTACTTGAAGCCTCCCTTGGCAGAATTAGCCTTTCTATAATCATGTCTTACCCCAAACCTGAGAAGGCCCAGATTGTATTTTGGTTCATACTTCACAGAAAGAAAGCTTTGGTTGGCGAAGTGATTTGTCTTCTTCTATGACTTTCATGCTTCCTTCTCAATTTATGGATGCTAAATCCTTATTTATGTATTCATTTGTTTCAATGAGATGGGCAATGACAAATTTGATAAATAAAATGAAAAAATAAATGAGTGAATGAATAAATACTGATTCCTTGTTCATATTAAAATGATATGATAAAATGATAATAAATTATAATTAAAAATTAAAATCTTTGAAAATGGATAGCTATTTGCTTTTTTTATATTACTCAACATTTAGCCAGGAAGTATTGACATTTCAAGTATTTATTTTAGAGGAAATTTCCCCAGTTGCAATGGAAATCATAACCAGAGTTTAATCAAATACTGCAGTTGTGAAAATACTCTTTACTGTATCTTATTTATTCCTTCAGATGTTGCAGTTCGTACAACTGGCGATAGCAAGTGGTCCTTCCTTTTCAGTTTAACAGATTTAAAGTCAATTAAGCAAAACAAAGAAGGAATGGGATGGTCCTATTTGGTATTCTGCTTAAAGGATGATGTTGTCCTTCCAGCTCTTCATTTTCATCATGGTGATAGCAGTTTATTCATCCAGATACTTAAAAAATATGTGGTGCTTTGTGAGTAAGTATTCTTAGGATTAAGCAGCTTATAGCAGTGCTTAAAAGTTTGTGAACTCTTTTGAATTCTCAATATTTCTGCGTAAATATGACCTAAAATGTTATCTGTTCTCTGAACAGGTCTAAAACTAGATAAAGAGAACCCAGTGAAACAAGTGAGTCAAAAACATACTTGTTCATTGATTTATTGAGGGAAATGATCCAAAGCTACCTATTTGTTTTTCTACACAAAAATATGTAGCTTTGGATCATTTTCCTGAATAAATAAATGAACAAATATAATGTTTTTGAGTCATTTACTTGATAAATCTCTTTATTGAGTTTTAGGGCTTTGCGTGGGGAACAGATTTTGCTTTAGGTCATATTTATGCAGAAATATTGAAAATTCAAAAGGGTTCACAAACATTTAAGCATCACTGTAGATTGTCTGTAGAAGCAGAATAAAAATAAGGAGTAACTTTTAATGAATAATGATATGATAAAACTTTTGTTAATTATTTTAAGATCAATAATATAGAGCAGTGGTTCTTAAACTGTTTGTCCCAATTACCCGTTTTCCCTGTCTTGAATAATGTCATTACCCCCACAAAAAAAGAGACACTACTGTTTTTTTTGTGTTTCAGCAGTGGCAGTCCCAAACTAGATCTTGACTCACAAACAAGGAATTACAAATTGCTTCATTGCCCCCAGGATATGCGCAAATTACCTATTTGGGGGTAATTACCCATAGTTTAGAAACCACTGACACAGACATTTGATGGAATTTTTTCGAGTACTAAATTCAAAAGCTATAATACAATTTGCAAAAAAATAGACTTTTAAGCAGTCTTCTTCTCTTTGTCTCCCAACCAGCCTCCTCCTTAGTTATTTCCTTGTTCCAGGGCAAACATCTTTAATTTGTTTATGTGTATGTTGCAGTACTATGAACAACTTCATATTCTAAAAGTTTTAATTGCAGAAAACCTCTAGACTGTAGCTGATTTGGCATGATTCAGGCAAACAACAAGACTTTCCAGAGTTCCCTGGAATAGTCTATCTGCAAAGATGAAATGTTTGCACATATCTAGCTTCACCTCTAGGATACTCATCATGGAAAAATAACACTGGGAAATAAAAGTGATTTCATTGTAGATTATTATTAGACCATAGCTGGCTAGCTCCTTCTGACAATGAGAAATCTTCAGTGTCCTTGGGTTAGTTAAGCATGACATTAGAATGCTGCCAAAGGAGAAGTAGGGTATTAGTTATTGGATGGAGTGAGCTTTGAATCCATATCTGACTCTGCAGAAGCTTAAAATCAGCCATTGACCAGCCATAACTGTGTTCCCTCTACCACTCACAGTGATTCATTTTAAAAGAAAAATAAAAAAAGTCAGATAACATTGTTCTTTCTTCACTTTCTCCCTGTTAGTCACCAGTAGAGCTTTGGACATGATGGAGTACTCTGACTGACCAATTAGACTCCTTTATTAATCATTGGTTCCAAATTAGAACCTTAAATCAATGAGAGAGAATAAATATTTTGAGGTTTGTTTGTTTTTTTAAGTTAATGATACTGGAGCAGTCTATGTGACCATAGTAGCATTATCATAAATAACTTCTCTGAACAAGTTAAGTAATTCTCATTTATGATAAACCTTACTGAAGACAAGTTTAATTAAAATGCAGCTATCTTAAGGGTTTTTCATTCTTAGGTTAGCTAAGCATGACTCAGTACAACTTTTGTTTCATGAACAATATTAGAAAACTGCAGTTTTTATTTATTAACAGTCCCATTTTCAGAAGGCCAAGATGTAATCTTCTGTTGAATTTCATATCCTCTGCCACAAATGCATCCACTCACGTTAGTACTGAAGAGTGATAACATTTATTAAAGTCTTAGGCTTTAATAACAGAATAGGTGAGAGTTTTTAGGTGATATTAAAAATAATAGTGCTTTGTTTAAGAAACTGGCAGTAGTGAATTCAAGCCTAAAACAAGTACTTTCAACTTTGTAACCAGTATTGTACTGTATGTGTAGAAAACACAAGCATATCTACTTCAAGTATTATATGGTCAGTTTATTTTCTGTAGCAACTGTTTTTTGAAATGCCAGTTTTATAGTTATTGTTGGCTTACCCAAAATAGGGAACAGAATTATAGACGGTAAGGAAATAAGCTTTTTGTTTTTTTCCACTCAGATCTCAACAGGATAAAAGGATTCTTGTGAACTGTCAGAGTATTTCACAGTCCTTTGAAAATCTCCTTGATGAACCAACATGTGGCCTAATACAGGTTGGTGTAGTGTATTATTTATGGTAAAAATTAAATGTAAGGTTTAAGAGATTAAAATAGTTTCTTGGAATAAACAGGAGGGCAGGGGGGAAGAGGCCAAAGTCTTGTCTTGAAAGAAAGTTGGAAACTTAATAAAGTTTATAAAAGCCTTTATCCAGCCTAATGTGTGCCCAATCATAGCCAAAAGAATCCCTGAAATCTTGAATGAATGAGTTGACTGACATATACAGATAAGCTAGATGCATGAAGCGAGGAAGCCAAGCAAGTTCCAGAAGAAGGAGAAAAGTACTTGAACCCTACAAAATACTTTTATACAGTTGCTACTATCCTGGAGATGGGGAAACATCCTTGGAGCATATACCCAGTGCCAGCAAGCAGAGCAGTACAAGGCAAAGATTTCTGCTGAAAAGCAGATGGTTTCAGATCCTGCACTGGAAGCTTCTGAGGCTGAAGGTGAAAGCTAAGTTAACTAGAAGTCACCCAGAAAAAGAAAGGAGAGAGAAAGAAGCTCAAAGAGAGATGTTTATGGAGCTTATTTTCCTTCTCAGAAGACAGGAGTCATTGGATAAGTATCTTCATCTCCAGCTAGTTCTACTTCTAGTGTAGGAGGGAGTGGAGGACCCTGTGCTAAGAATATAAACATCTATAAGTTGAGTGAAGATAAGGATATAGAGTCATTTTTTACTATGTTTGAATAGGTGACAATATCATGTAAATGGCCAGTTGAAGATTGGATGGCTGGGTTAAATTCATTCACCTAACAGGGAAGGCTTTGAGGGCATATGCATCTATCTCTCTGTCTCCATCCATCCATCCATCCATCCATCCATCCATCCATCCATCTGCTTAGGAAGCATTGCATTACAAGAAAGTAAATGAAGTGATCCTCTACTAATATAAGGTAACATAACTAACAGAAACAGAAAAGGGTGAGATAAGTTTGGGCAAGGCTGCGCATTTAGATAAAAAATGGTTATAGTCAGAAATTAATGGTTTTCGGGAGATTATGGATGATGCTGTTCTGGACAATTCTTACAGGCTCAGCTTGATTTTAATAGATTTTGGGTGCATGAACATCAGCCAAGTGCAGTAATTAAGGCAATCTCCATATTTGAAGATTACCTTGTAACTAGAAGAGCTGAGGAGGCCAGAAGAGAACATGAAGAAAAAGGGAGAGAAAGGAAGTGCACAGGGAAAAGCAACTTCATCCCAATCTACATGAGATTAAACAAACCAAGGGGAGGATAGAAACTGTTATATATGTAGCAAGTAGGGCATTTTGCTAAAGATTGGTGAAGCAAACGGGAAAAGAGCCTTTTTCAGCCATGTTGCAAGCCCACAAGGGATCAGAAATAACAATATAAGTTAAGATTAATGGAACTTGTCCTGGGTTTAATTGACTCACGAAGCAGACAGACTTTAATATGCACTTATGGTCCTAGTAGACCTATATTGGTAGCAAAAGCAACTATCCAGTTATCAGATCAAAACTATGGTGGTTGGGGTATCTAAGTTTAGGGTAATCACTAAATTACCCTTTTGATTGTAAATAGAGACAGAAAAAAGGCAATTCTGGAGACAGTAGATGTTCTTCCTTCCCATCCAGATTGGATTAGGTTATGTGATGGAAGGCATGAGTGGGGAGGGTTCTGGAATGGAGCTTCAAGGTTGCCAGGAGGGGGGAGAGACATTCCAGGGGAACCACCTCGGTCCCCAGCCGGAGTGTGGGAAAACCAAGAGAATGACACTGTCACCTCCCTAGGGCCTCATGGTTATAGTAACCGTTGTTGTGGTGTAGATTTAGTCTGGTGAGATTCTGTCTATTAGGTGTAAGCTAATAAAGGAGCTTAACTGTTTTGGGCTGTCTCGCTGTTGTTCTTGGGCTGAATGTGACATCAGTCTCCATCACAGGTTATAAGTAAATCTGAAAAGAGAATATCCTTAGGAAAGTAGATAAGGCTAAGGGAAAGTCCCTGGATACTGGAGGCATCCCAAGGGAAATTGATAAAGGGGATGTACAGAGGGAAAATCTTCTTTAGAAACATGCTGCCAGGAAGTGATAGCAGAGACAAGCAGATTGAAAAACCCACTTATGAATTATCAATAACATATTGTATTAGGTACAGAAAACCAGTTGCTCAAGAAAGAATAGAACAGAATTCTAGAACTAGGACATGAAAAGCTTTTTTCTGGACATTTGAGTGGAGAGAAAAAAACACTCTACCAAATATTATGTAGGTTCTACTAGCCAAGGATCAGAGGAGATGTCAGTAGGCCTGTCAGGCATGTAGAGAATGCCAATTGGTCAGGAGAAAAGGAGTAAAGGGTAAAGCTATACATATGCTTATAATGCTGGAACCAGTTTCAAACAGTACATAGTAGTATGAACATAGTAGGTCTTGTCCTGGCAACAGCCGAAGGAAATAAATACATATTAGTGGTTTGTAACTTTGTAACACAGTATTCTGAGGCAGCAGCACTACAAACTACTAATTTAATTTAATTTAATGTATGAGATTTGCTATGGCTACCCATTCCAGAAGACTGTGGACCTCTTGCAAAATCTGAAGAACAGTGAAACAATTAAAACAGTTAAAACCTACATAAACACAGCCTGGACTAAAACAACTAGAACAATAAACAATACAAAAATATGACAGGGGTCTCAACCTGCCTACAACTTAACAGATAGCAGATACATTAAATAGAGTGGTATACTCATCATATCTTGACAGATCAAGGAAGTCATTTTTAGTCAATCCTCCTAAAACATCCCTAAAATCCCATCTCTATGGTATTAAAAGATATGAGGACAGAATACTTGATTCAGACTCTCAAGCACATGTTAAGAAAAATATGCAGAATGGTATCCCATTCATTGGGATACCTGGTTGCCATGCCTCATGTTTGTATACAGGGAAGAACTGAAAACCTCAACAGGATTTAGTCCTTTCAAAATAGTATATGGGTATAGTCAAAACTGGAGTAACAAGCAAATCCCCTAAAAATCTGGTTGAATATGTAGTGACTTAAATTGATCTGGACAGTGAAAAATATAAAATTAAAAATGACATATAAGAAAAGACAATCCTGTCCTTTTCTGGAGTAAGAATAATCAAGAGCTCATGGATAAGAAATAAAAGGTTTGGACAGTACCAGTAATCAGGAAGTGCAGATCAAGCAATATCTGTCACTATAAAAAGAATGTCTAAAATCTGATTCAAATCTTCCAAACTACATTTACCAGTGTGCCATGTTAGTGGAGCATGTCATTGATACTGGGATGTCAAACCAGTATGATAGAGACCCCATTTGTTGCAGAGAGACTCCAGAAAGTATTAGAAAAAGAGGTGGATAAAACTTTGAAACTGGGAGTGATTGAACCATCTCACATTGAATGGTATTCCCCTATTGTGTTGGCGCCAAAACCAAACAGTGAGATCTAGTTTGGTATAGACATGCAACAGGTGACTTTAATCACTAATTCAACAGCTATCTAATGCCTGGTATAGAAGATCTAGGTAGACAAAGTAATGCCCAGTATCTCTCTACTATCAACTTGATAACTGGATATTGGCAAATACCATTAAAGAAGAAGTCAAAGGAAAATGAAAATCTCTCCATAATATGGCAGGTTGTTCTGCTTCTAATTCCATTTAGTGACAGAAGCTTTAATCCTATAAGGGTTTAAAAACCTCTGTGTATACATGCACTCAGCTAGGGAAGAATACATAACAACCGACGACGCTACCTGAGTTATTTGCCAAATCTCCATCATTCTCCGAATTTTTTAAGATTGTTTTTATATTGTATTTTAATTGATTTTATCTCTGCTGTAAACCGCCCAGAGTCATTTCAATGAGATGAGCGGTGACAAATTTGATATATAAATTAAAAAAAAAATAAAACTGTTCTTTCCTGAGTAATCGGGGGATTGGGAGTTGGGAAGAGAGGGGGAGCACTCCAAAGAGAGATAGCCAGCTTCCATATACTCTATCATATAGGTTTCTTCAGGGCATATAAAATGGAATGCTTTCTCTATTTTTATGGATTGTGTAGATCTGTAATGGAGAAGTTGATCTGTTAGGTAACTTAAACCCAGACCGTTCTGGGTTTTGTGTGTCAGCAGCAAGATATTGAAGCCTACTATGTAGCTAATAGTCTGATGTAACATGTGCATAGCCCATGGATACACAGCATTCTGTCTGCAGAATTCTGTAGCAGTTGCAAATTCTAAACCAAGTATTCAAGTTTTGCTTCTTCTGTTTCATTAAAAACACACACACACACTTATTTTAATGTGATATTATTGTGATAAGCCTAGTTTTCACCACAACATCTCACCATTCTTCACATATCCATGCATCCATCTAAACAAACTCTATCTTGGTTTTTCTTAGAAATTGAAAAAGGATCCTTACACAACAACAATGGGAGGGTTTTCCAAAGTGACCAACTATATTTTTGACAGTTTACGAGGAAGTGACTTAACAAATCAGCAGCGGCCTCCATCAGAAATGGCAGATTTCATTAGTGATGCTATTCCAGGACTAAAAATAAATCAACAGGAAGAACCAGGATTTGAAGTCATTACACGAGTGAGTTTTAAGTTCTTGGAAGTTTAGATGATAACAGGATATTCATTTGTGGTGGTTTTAAAATGAATGCCTTGGCAATAATGTAACAGATTTTTTATACATGTCTTAGATTGATTTAGGAAAACGACCTGAAGCTCATAGAAGGCAACCAGTATCAGTTGAAGAGTGGACTAAGAATATGGATTCTGAAGGAAGAATCTTGAATGTGGACTCTATTAAACAAATGATATTCAGAGGGGTAATATCTTAAGTTATCTCTTTAAAAAATGTGTGAATTTTTTTATATATATATATATTATAGCTAGTTAGAAATACTAAAGTCTGATTAGCCTTTAACAATGATAAATGAACTTTAAAACTATGGAAAAACGATTTATTTTAAGACTAGTTTTGAGGTTAATAATTCATTAATTAAAAAAAAACAAACTGTAAACCAATTTCAGAGATTATTAGTATGTAGATGTCAGCCAGAAGTGCTATGTTATTATATAATGGTGATCTGGTTATTACCAAATCAATTGTAGGGGCCAGAATCCAGGAATAACAATCCCTTGGAGTTAAATTGTTTAGTATAGTGTTTAGTGAGTTGGACTAAGACTGGTGATGGGTCCAGATTCAAGGCCATCTTCATCCATAGAAGCTCATTGGGTTACCTTGGACCAGTCAGTTTATGTCTGCACAGCCTACCTCAAAAGATTACTGTCATGGAGAAAAATTGGATAGGGAATGCTGTGTATGCCTACTTGAGCTCCTGGATGAAAGATAGGATATAAATCTGAAAAACAGAGACAGTATGCAAAATACATAGAACAAATAATAATAGTATTCTACCAATCCTTAAAGAGAGAAACTAATAGAATGTGCTAACTTTACTATAATGTTTAACTTTTTTCCAAATCTACATTTTTATATAAAGAGTACCTCGTTTTCATTTGTATCATTCATATAAAAGATACATTGAGGAGGGAATGTGCTCTGAAGTACACAGATGAAGTATCAGTAAGAAGATGAAAGCAGATATGATCTGTCTATCTGCATGCCACTTGGATGGCTGCCTAAATCTTTCAAAGCAAAGCAGAGCAATAACTTCTTTGTTACTATACCTCATAGTCATTTTTAAAGCACTGAAATGAAATGTTTTGATAATTATAGGAAGTCATATTCCTTCTAAGGTTTCTCAGTCTAAAAATTGATGACACAAGCCAAGGGAAAACAAACAGGCTAGAGAGAGAGAGAAATAATACGGAGAAGAAGTTACGAAAGGCCAAACTATTTTTATTAGTGCTACAAAATTAAGCCTGGGAAACCAAAATCTGAAATATTATAAAAAAATAGAAAATTAACCTACTCATGAAAATATGGGAATCATCTTGACTACATCACAAGAGATGAAACAAAGGAATTTGAGCAAAGACCCAGTAGAAATAGTAGGTAGCAATTAAGGATGGCAGCCCTACCCTTATGGAACTACTTGCTTTCTTTGTTCCTGGTTGTCTTGTTTTACTTAGAAAGTGCCCAGTGTTGCCTTTATCCTTTTTTCTTTTTCTCCCAAGGGGCTCTGTCATGCTTTGAGGAAAGAAGTGTGGAAATTCCTGTTGGGTTACTATCCTTGGAATAGTACTAGGGATGAGAGGACAAGTATGCAGAAAAGGAAAACGTAAGCATGATATTTTAAAACAGTGAGACAGTAGTGACATGTTGAAGCAGAAGCAAAATTGTGGTGGCTGGATGTCATGCCTTTCTGTGGGATTGGGGAATGTGGCTTAAGTTTGTAGGGTAATGACATTGTGAGTGGTTGTGCTGAGATTTTGGAGGCATGAAGTTTTCTATAGGGGTATGTCTATGATTTGTACACTGATTTTATTTTGCCAATTGTTAAAAATTGGCAGTAAAGCATGCATTTATCGTTTTCTGGTTTGCTGCCAAATTTCTTTGGTATGTTCTGTGGGTTCTCTTAGGCCCCAAAACAAGATGTGGACCACACATTGCCCATTCCTTCACTAAATATGTGTAACCAGGGTTTAGTATAGGGATAACTGTCATGTGAGATATAAACTGTGTGTTTGGAGGACAGCATTTAATCTTAGATTGTTAAATTATATTTTGTGTTCTTAAAGAGTTATACAGGCTAAAGACTATGGAAAAGTCATAACTTTGGGGTTTTTTAGTGTGAATGTTATTCCTATGCAAAGTAGTAACTACCAACTAGTTACTTACAAATGTACCATGTGAACTTGCTTGCTTTCTTTTAAATGCTCCATATTTCAAATTACACAATATCATTATCATGCTTTATGATTTTTTATTTATTTTTTATTCTTTAGAGATGAGTATTTCAGGATGAAGCTTCAGTGGAAATCTGTCAGTGAAGAACAAGAAAAAAGAAACTATAGATTGAGGGATTACAGAAGTCTTATTGGTAATTTTTAGAAGTATAGAATTCCATACAATATAAATATTAGAGATAAACTAACATTTTTCCTATTATTAGGATGAAAATACATTGTATGTTTTTTAAAGATGATTTCAGTACATCTGAGTTACTCTTACTTGCAGTACTCTTCCCATGTAAACAGATAACATAGGCTTCAAGCTGTTTCAAAAATGCAGTAAATCTGTGCTTTTTTTTTTTCCCCCAGAAAAGGATGTAAACAGAACTGATCGAACAAACAAATTTTATGAGGGTCAAAATAATCCTGGATTGATACTGCTTCATGACATTTTGATGACCTATTGTATGTATGACTTTGATCTGGGTAAGTAAAGCTTTATATAGTTTTATTGACCCTGTGAAGTGTTATTTCTTGAAATTAATCTGGAAAAACAGTCTGTGTTCATTATTAAAATTTTAATTAAGAGATGAATAAGATGGGGCTTTTTATACAAAGAGAGGGTCACTTTTAGTGCTTTTGATTATAGACTCACCATCTCAGAGTAAATTTTTCCTCCGTGAGCAGGTTGGTACCAACAGGAGTGACTAGTGCCTGTTGTTTTCTACTTTTATCTAGTATACAGTCTTGGCCTTGCCATTTTTGACAATATATAGATTATCAGAGATAGGATCTGTCCTACCTTGTTCCTTATAAATAACAGTTCCTCCTTTTTTCCAAAAGGTATGTTCTATGTTGTTTCTTTCTGCTTCTCAGCTCCATTTTTCATTCACTGTTATTAATTGTTTGGGACACTTTGAATATTAGGATATTGGTTCTAGATGAACCATGTTACAGTTGTTTTCTTCCAGTTCACTTATTTATTTAGCTCAGCATTCATTAACGTGAGAGTTAAAGTCTAATATATTCAGTAATTATTATATTCAAATAATTACTTTTGAGTTTTACATTCTGCTAGTTGTACTAAGGAATATGTTCTGAATATAGAAAGAAACTAGGAATATTTTGTCTGTTTAAAAAAAACACATGTGTTTCATCTTAATACTGACAGGGTGAAGTAAGATGGTGGATAATATGTCTTTTTTCTTTAATTTTTTCTAATTTTATTGGAGGAAGAAACTGTTATTTAGAGTAGAGAAGGGATCTTTTTATGATGGCCAATAGAAATAACATTTGATTACTTTCCCAGAAGATAAAGATTGTAAGCCATGTATTTTTGTTTTTTGTGGAGGAACATTCTGTCAAATAAGCTCCTATCCAAATCTAGGGTGATGGAACCTAGACACAGGTTTACTGCTTAAGCGAGAACTAAGATGTATTATGTTTTGCTATCCATGATTTGCCAAAAGTAAGATGTGGCCGCATCCTCTATTTTTTCTTTAACTAATTTTTCTTTATGGAGAAGAGAAAAGGCTTTTCCCTCTTCAAAATAGAGGTCATGATCCTGCCACTTGTGAGAATTTCTGAGTCACACTCTGGAGGAGATGGGCGGCATATAAATTTAATAAATAAATACATAAAATTTAATGTTAGTCTAAAAGGATATGGTCAACTTTGCTAATTTAATATATGATTTAATATAATTCTCATATCTCCATATCATGTTACCATTCAACATTTTTTTAAGTAGAGTAGCACTGTAAATAACATGCAGAAAAAGTAAATTATATTAGGTAACATCTTAAAATACAGAATATAACATACCTTTATTATATTTCTTATTTATCTTTTAGTACATTTATATTGTAATCTTCTGTCATGGAAGAGGTCCAGTATTAATCAGACATACTTACTTTTAACACTTTAATCTCCTTCATATAAAAAGGTATTAAAAAGTACTGGAATTATTTTTTATTTTTTGGTGCTTATTTGTATATCTACTGTATATGTATACCTATTTGTATATCTTTTTTAAGGATTTGTTCTTAGTTCCAAAATTTGACAACTCAGAAAGGAGAAATGTTAGATGGGCGGCGCATAAATTTGATTAATAAAATAAAGTTCATGCTTTTCTTTTAAGGATATGTTCAAGGAATGAGTGACTTACTTTCACCTATTTTGTATGTGATGGAGAATGAAGTGGATGCTTTCTGGTGCTTCACATTGTACATGGATCAAATGGTAAATATTTTCATCTACTGTATTATTGTTCTCTTAAGTTAATATTGGAAAATGTTATTTCCTTGTGTCACCTTCTCTGTTTCTTCATCGTATATTTCTTATTGAATAGTATACTCAGACATAAAGTGTTAAAAATAGCTGCAATATATGACGTCAGTAGCAGACAGAATATTCTGAATTGTACCTATATAGTCACAGTGCAAATTGTTTTTTTAAAGGAGACTGTACATATAATTTGTGTCTTATGAAGTTCTCTTTCCTGATTAGCAACTTGAATCTGCTTGAACCTTCCATTCTAGTTGATCATTATTAAATTTGTATTTAAATTTAAGAACTGGTACCTGATTTTTTGTTGTCTTCCCTCCTGAGCCATTTCCCCAGGTGTCACTTAGATTATAACCTGGTAGATAGGAATTCTTGGATTTTGCCAAACATATCTTTTAGGCTGCTCTGGGACTCTGTTTGGCTGAATAATAGAATAAAATGCTTAGAGTTTCACCTGAGATCAGACATAGTAATGCATTGAATGCATATTCACAAGGATTTTGACCTAATAGGGTTCAATTTATTTTCTTTGAGAATTCCTCCATAGCTTTTCTTTCTGCTGAAAAGGGTGGAACCTACACAAAATTCTTTCATTCATATATGTGAATGAATGAACTTAGTGTGGATTCTACTCTCTCTCTCTCTCCCTCTGTGTGTGTGTGTGTGTATGAAAACACACAGACTTCATCTGTATGCCCTTTCCATATAAATTAGCATACACAATGGAATCCTGTGTTCGTTGTCATGCAGATAATTATTTATCAAGCCCAATATACATGCAATAATACTAACTTCTGTAATCTATTATTGTTATTTATCCCAATTCTTTTCAGAAGGCAGCTATCATACATTTTGAAGTATATAGGTATATCAGTTCAGTGAATTGATGGATATGGACAGCCATATGTGAATACACTTGGACATATGGTGTAATTTATTTAGAAACAGACAGAGGTATCCATACTTATCATAGTTTTCATTTACATTTTTGTTGAATTAAATAATTCTATCAACTGTGAGATTGACCCCATCCTTGAAATCCTTCTGGAAGTCCCTTAAAACATGGCTGTGTCAGCAGGCCTGGGGATCTCAAGGAAATGGCAATTTGATAAGATGGCTACATTGTTTTTAACATCAATTTTCTCCACTATCTTGAAACTAATAATATTATTGATCTTTTAATTGTAGTTTTTAACATTTGGATTTTATTATTGTTTTTATGTAAGCCGCCTAGAGTCACTTTATTGTGAGATAGGTGGCTATGTAAATGTGATAAATAAACTGTTAAGACCAGAATTAGATTTAGACTTAAAAATGTTTTTATATAGTTGTATTGTCTTATCACTGTTTCTGAGTACTCACATAAAATATTCTATTTGCTTCTCATCAAGCATCAAAATTTTGAAGAGCAAATGCAAGGCATGAAGACACAGTTAATTCAACTGAGTACTTTACTTCGCTTATTAGATAGTGGATTCTGCAACTATTTGGGTATGTATAATTTAAGGAAAAAAAGTTATTCTAGATATTTCTTTAGACCATTTTCTGCATCAGTTATTTTCTTTGTTTTCAGTAGTCTTTATTTTTAGATGGCAACCTGTTTCATGCATAACTTTGACCCAGGTTTTCTTAATTGTGGTTTGTAGAGCAAGTTTTCCTAATTCACACATCTCTAGCCTAAAGCAAGCATTATGCCCTATTGTTAAATGTGAATCAGGTGATCTGTTTTAGCCTATCTGCATTCATAGTTCAAATAACCTTTGGTTAGCAATGATTAGATTTTTATCCTGAACTGAGAATGAAAGAGGCATGGCAATATTATATAAATTATTATGTTTGTCTATGGCATCATCACTTCACCCATAAATTCTCTTCACCTGTCTTGTGAAG